GAGGTCTTAAGTTTTCAAAAACCTCTTTCCATAGGGCCACCTATCAACCCCCATTGCCCTTCCTTAGGCTACAGAAACAATTAAAAAGGCTCTCCATATTCCACAAGACACCCAGAGACACAGTTACAGTTAATTGCATGTATGTCACACCCCTTTCCTAAGATTATAAGCTCCACAAAGGCAGGGATTCTGTCTTCTCTAAACCTTGTAAAGTTGATGGCTCCCCTAGTACCTAGCACAGTGCTCTGCACACAATCGGTATAGATGTTCATTCAGCTGAATATGTGAAGAAACACAATAAAGTATGCACGTATAATAATGACACCGATTGTCTACCAAAGACGTGTCCTTTTCAGAGTTGCCACCAATGATGGTGCCTCTGCTCAAGGCAATTGCCTTCAGAGGTAGCAGCAGCCCTGGCGCTGGGGAGGCGAGGAAGCTTGAGTTACCTGGAAATGAAGGGCCTGCTTTGGTGTAATTAGCTAGCCTATTTAAGGTGTCCTGATGCTATGACAAACTGCTAGTGTCATCTAAACCAGCCACTGTTATTCTGCTGCTGAGAGGACGCTGGACCTGAGAGAGAAAGGCAGAGTGGCCACAGATCACCATACCACAAGTGAACGGCTGTGACTACAGCTGAGTGGGCGTCCTGGGTTTTTTCCCTTCTGGGTCAGGTCTCTATGCCTGCTCCCCTCTACTTGTAGCTTCATTCAAGCCTCCTCATACTCTACTTCCTATGCAGAGGCTTTCCTGCATTCCCAAGCTGCTAATGTTCTTCTTGTTAAATTATTGTGTTTATACTTATCTGTTTTCATGTTGTCTCCTCCTAGCAGAATGTGACCTCCTTGAGGTTGAGACTGTTTGTTATTGTTGCTTGGTCTTTGCATTTCTACTGCCTTGCATATAGTAGGTCTTTAATGAAAGCTTGTTGGGTTGGTTTGGAAGATACCCAATAGTGGCCCTCTGGCCATGTCTTGTCTATCTGGAGCCAAAGAGGTGAGTAGTGTGGAGATTTGGGTAAAGCAAATAAGAAAAGATGAAGGCCCAATGATGGGCTGAATGCTGCAGGCCCAGGTGTTAGTTTATTGTTTGCTTCCTACCAAGGCCATTTGATTTTCCCTAAGAACACACCCACTTAAGAGGCTTTGACCGTTAGAGTCTTGGGCACATCCTTTTGAATATCCTTAATGGTCTCAAATCTTCATCCTTCAAAGGTGGCTCTGATTTTTGGACAAAGTCAAAAGTTATTCAGAGCCAAGTTCTGTGAAGAGAGCGGTGATTAACTTGCCAGATAATGGCATGACCACTGAAGACAAGAAATGAGTTGGAGATCTTGAGAAATGGGACCCATTTCCTTGTGTTCCTTCTAATTGATTCTAAAGGTAATTCCCAGAGTGTGTATATGAATGTGAACAATGGCAAACTTGCTAGAATGTGCATCGCCTTCCACAGGGACCACTCTGAAAGATAACATTAACTTGTCTGGACTCATTCTGGTGTGTTCACTGTGCACCTTGAAGACATACATTTATGGGGTGGATCTGCTGTAGTTACAACAGACCCATCTATCAAGGCTCTGTTCTACTTCCTCGGTGAAGCATTTCCTGACCAGCTCAAACCACAGACATAGCTCACATTTCTAAATTCCTAATGCAATTTTCCTAATCATGTAACTTTCTGCCTTGTGATATATTGTCATCTTCTTCTGTGATCGCTTAATGTGCATTTTCTCTATAACTAGCCTATAAACTGTTTAAGGGCAGGGGCCATGTCTCAGTTTTCTTTTGGATCCTTTACAGATTAAACCCCAGATTTTAGCTTCCTTACCAATAAGCACAGGATGGGTCCACCCTGCGTGGTGTAGTGGGAAGAATTTTGGACTAGAAATCAGAAGGCCCAGAGTTCCAATCCCAGCTCCGTCACTCGGGAACTAGCTTTGTGACACGAGGGTAAGTTGTCTCCTTTCCCACATCCCAAGTTTCCTCCTATGTAAAATGTTGGGGTTGAACAAAATGGTCTCCAATATCTATTGCATCTCTACTTATGTAGGTGGTCAATAAAATCCTTACTGAATGAATGACTTAACAGAACCTGCCAAATGCATTATTGCCACTATATCTTTTCCCCCTGATTAAGCCCAGTAAGCCACCAAAAAACTTGTCTTGTGCATCCCTTAAGCACAGAAGTTGGGGCTATGTGGCACAATGGAAAACCCCTGGATCTAGAACCAAAGGACTTGAGTTTGAATTCTAATCCAACCTGTCTAACTTTGGGCAATCCTGAACTTCCCTGGGCCTCAGTTTCCTCATCTGTAGAATAAGAGGTTAGACTAAATGACTTCTAAGTTTCCTTTCAGGACTAAGTCTATGATCCTAAAGAATGCAGCTCTCACCTCAGTATAGTCTAAGGAAGGGCTCTCCAACAATCAGGGCTGGTCACCCATAGGAGGAGCTGTCCCAGGAGGCAGGTGCCCTGATGGGATTACTTCTTGTCCAGGATGTTGTAGGGGGTGGGGTTCTGGCTCTAGGTAGGTGTTGGAACAGATGATGGACAGTGGAGCGTCGGGAGGAATCAAAGAAGTGACAGAATCTCAGGACATAAGAGTTAGAAGAGATTGTAGAGATTATCTGGCCCTGATGCCTGAAGTTCCCAGGAGAGTTTACAGCTGCCCTGAGAGGTAATACCCAAGGATTTTAATTTCTCTTGGCGTGGTCTATCCATCCATCAAGGCAGTTTGCACTTTAGCAGGAGGTCTTCAAGAGTTGTGGCTAAAAAATTAATCAGCCTGCGACCAACATGCTGGTGAGCCTTTCCAACTGGTCTTCCCACACCATGTATACAGTCTAGAACTGGGCCCCTATTCAAAGCCTTTTTAGCTTGGTAAGTCTGATTAGAGGGGGCACAGTGGATAGAGCACTGGGACTAGAGTCAGGAAAACCAGAGTTCAAGTCTGGCCTCAGACATTTAACTTGATGTGTGACTCTCAGCAAATCACTTTACCTTTATTGGCCTCAGTTTCCTCAACAGTAAAATTGGGCTAATAATGGCTAATAATAACCTACCAGGGTTGTTATGAGCATCCAAATGAGACAATATTTGTAAAAAGCTTAGCACGGTGCCTGGCACAGAGTAGGTACTATTAATAAAGGCTTGTTCTCTTCTTTTTCCTCCTTCCCTATTGGGCAGATCATCATTATTATGAATTATTTATTGCAGGACCCAGGCATCACATGAGAAGCTACTAGTCTTCCTTGTAAGAAGATGGTTACATCAGTTACACCTCACAGTCACAGAGCCAAGGAATGAGTTGCACACTCAGATGTAGACAAGCCAGGGTGGGTAAACATCTGAATTCCTATAGTGTTATTAGGCACAGAAGGCCTTGGGAGTATATTGTTAATTACAAAATCATGGAATTATATGCTTTGAGAGCTGGAGTAGAGATCTAGTCCCCCTTTCATTTTACACATTCATTTATTTGTTGAATAAACATTTATTCAGTACTGACTGTAATACAATGTGGCTCTGGGAAACAGTGGCTCAGATTAGGGAAACTGAGGTCCAGAGTAGGGAGTGACTGGCCAAAGGTTACTGAGAAGGAATAAAATTCAAGTTTTCTGGGTCTCGGGTCAGACATTTTCTACTATACCACACGCTCCTCCTCTTCTCTTGTTCATGTTTTAGCTCCTTAGCTGGAGAGAGAGCTCTCCTTCAGCACAGGGACTGTCACATCCACTGCAGAGCCAGTTTGATGCAGAAGTAATTCATGTTTGTGTTGTGACTTAAGGTCACTGAGCGTTTTCCTCATGACCTGGTGATTTGGGAAGTTTAAGAATTATTATCCATATTTTATGGATGAGGAAATTGAGATAAAGATGGAGCGATTCGCCAAGATTACCTCAATGGCAAATGTAGGATCCAGAATTCAAACTTGTGTCTCCTGGCTCAAGTCCAAGGGTCTTTCCACTACTGGAACAGAGTCTTGCCTCTGTGACTAACTACCTATGTGACATCAGGCAAGTAAGTCATTTCTGGGTCTCAGTTTTCTCATTTGCAAATTAGGAGTAATAAAGCTTGTCCTCTGCCCTGTCTATGTCCTAGGGATGTTACAAAGATCAAAGGAGATCATGTGGGTAAAGTGCTATATCGTTCAACAAAAACATACAAAGCTTAAACAAGACAGGATACCTGTATTCATGGAGTTTACAGTTCAGAAGGGAAATTAAACAAACTCCAGGCCTAGAACTCCATCCACTGTGTCATCTAACTGCCCAAAGTGGTGAAACAGTGGATAGAGCACTGGGCTTGGAATCAGAAAGATTTATCTTCATGAGTTCAAATCCAGCCTCAGATACTTACTTACTGTGGGACCCCAGGCAAGTCACTTAACCCTGTTTGCCTCAGTTTCCTCCTCTATAAAACGAGCTAGAGAATGAAACGGCAAACCACTCCAGTATCTTTGCCAAGAAAACCCCATGAAGAGTTGGACATGGCTGAAAAAAATGACTGAAATCAGAGATGCCTTCCAAGAAGAGGGGCAGCTGCTCTTAGTTCTTCAATGTGTTCTTAAAAGAGATACGCCAAGGGCCACAGACACCCCAGGTCTTGTAGGTGTGACCCAGGTTATGGTATGCTGGTAAAGGTTTGACGTGGCTCTTGGTTGGGGGGACGTATGCTAGACACACTATTAAATATAATATGCATTGTTACCATTTTCTCTATCACTTTCATGAGTTTGAATAACCAACAAAACAATAAATCAAGCCCCGATTTTGTGGTGTAAAGGTGTAAATGCTCATACTGAAAATTTAACAATTGTGAGCTGGTTCTAGCCAGCTCTATCATAACTCCACTTCCAGGGAACCTTTCCAAGCTGTTGATACAAACATGAGGAAAAGTGTGTGAAACTTGTATCCTGTTTCACCAGTTTGGGGACTGTGGGGTCCCATCCATTATGTTGCAAAGATGATACAACTTACATTCATGTTGATGTTACTCACTTCAACAATGGCTCAATCCAGGTCTCCTTTACGTAAGAGGCATCGTAGATTAAACTCCATTCATCTTTTATCCATGTGGTCAAATTCATGATGTTGAAGAAAAACTGGAGAAACTAAGGAAAGAATGTTGACCTTTCAGCTGTCACATATGAAACATTTGGTGCACAGTCGTTTTTATAGCTTAAAATCCAGTTTTCTGAACTCCTCTGCAGTTCCTTCCTATTGCTCTCATACTTTTAGAGGCACCACAATGTAGTGAAAAGAGACCTAGAATCAGGAGCCGAAATTCATATCTTTGCTTCAACATTTATTATCTATGTGACCTTGAGCAAGTCATTTAAACTTTCTGAGCCTCGGTTTCTCTATCTGTGAAATAGAAATAATAGTGGCACTTTCTAACTCAGCATTTTTGTGAGGAAAGCATTTTGTAAGCCTTAGAGTTCTATGAAAATGGGAGCAGTCATTATCTAAGAATATTGTATTTATTTCTGTTAATCAGGGTCAGCCATAGATGAAATGGAGTAGGTGACTGCTTATTAAATTGTGAGGTGAAAGAAAGCCTCCTGTCCAGAAATATTTCCCCAAATGATGCCCAATATTCCACCATTAATAAGGCCTTCCTTTGCTTTAAGTAATTCTCTAGGAATACTCTTTAAAAATGCAAATTTCCCCAGGATGGGAAAGTAATGTAGCATAAGTGCCATGAAGGAAATCGCACTCACATGAAGGAAAATGACTCACTTTCCCATGATGCCACAGGCCCAAGGCAGGGTACCAATAGAAAAGAGTCACTGTGCTATCATGCCCTGGGCCCCAGGCACAGATGTTGCTTGAAAACAATAAATAAACATACTCTTGGGATGCTTTTTCAGAGCCATGGAGAAATTGGTTGAGGACATGATCTACTTTGAGGCATTGGTTTATCTGGCGAATCACATCATATTTAGGAAGATACAAGCGCATGCATGAGGAATGGCCACTGAAAGGTATTTAGGAAGCTAAATGCTACTGCTCTGAAGTTATCAGTTGACAAGTGTCATTTCTTGTCACAAGGGAGTGAGTCCCGACTGAAGAAATAGAAGCTACAAAAAGTAACTCCAGGCCATGCCAGAAGAATTATCAGGAACTGAAGACATTTCTATCAGTGGCTGCTATTAGAGACTTGTGAAGAATTATGCTATCACTACAAAGCCTCTCATGGATCTTACCCATGGAGATACGGTGGAGAAGAAACATAAGCAGGAAATGTGATTAGGCCTTTAAGGACCTGGTTAGCTTCCTCTTAAATGAAGTGAAAACTTAGATGGCCTGGGGGGAAGGAGTTCTGCATCAGAAGAGGGATAATCACCAGAAGCCATAGACTTCATTGACAATGAGACCTGTGATCCCATCCTTAGGTTGGAGGTCTTGACTTTGACCCAGAAGTTATGACACTGTGTTTACCTTGTGGCTTGATAGCGAGTATAGATGGATAACAATCACTGACCTCTATTCTTGAAAAGTTCTATAGTCGGATTCTACTAGCCAGAAATGGTTCATGGCTCTAGCTAACTGTGAGTTCATTGTTGATTATCAGCCAGGGAGAACCAACATGGCTGTAAAAGTCCCAGTGCATGGGGCCTTACACATCCCAAACCATTTTTATATCCATGGAGGAGGTGAAGGATATCTGTGACGTGAAGGAAGCAAGTCCATTAACACAAGAAGGGGAGGTTGAGTGTCTGGGACTTCCCTTGGAGACCGTGCCATTGGCATATTGGCCATAGTCAACTAACTGGCAGACAGAATAGATGCAGGACGAAGAAGCATGAAACATGATAAAGGTCAAAAGAGAGGGTTTTGATCCTCATGGAATCAAGCTTAGCTCACTCAGTGGTTGAGGGATTGGCAGAAGTTGCGAGTCATGCCACAAAGCACTGAATTGGGCTGTGAACCCACATGGAGTAGGGGATAGCTTCCTTTAGTTAATTCTGCCCAAAGTCTACTAGGGTATAACCTTAAAAGCCTTCCATGACGAATGTGGGCATCTAGGCCAAGAGAAATCTCTGGCTCTAGTGCAGAATAGGTTCCACTAGCCAAGAATGGCAGTGGGTGTCTATAAGAAGTATAAGACCTGGGCCATTGTATTTGGAAGAAAGTGCTCCTGACCTGTAAAGCTTAAATAATAGCAAGCCTCTGGAGCTGGTGCACAAAGAGTTCTTGTCTCTAGAAGGGGAGAAAAAAAACATAACACCCTCATGGTAGGGGACTATTTCACCTGTAAACAAAGACTCATCTTCCTGAATTCAAATCCATTCTCAGAACTTTACTAGCTGTGTAGCCCTGGGCAAATCACTTAACCCTTTCTGCATCAATTTCTTCATCTGTAAAATGAGCTGGAGAAGGAAATGGCAAACCATTCCAATATCTCTGCCAAGAAAACCCCAAATGGGGTCATGAAGAATCAGATATGACTGAAAACAACTGAACAACAACAACGACAAAAATATAATGTGTATCTACAGACTCAATGTATACCTGGTATAATTTGCAGGGACTGCAAATTTTATAATCAGGGAAGGATGCAGAAGACATGCATGATGGAGGAGAGAAGTAGGTTAAGACTCACTTTCCCATACTTCCATGGGAATGAGTCACGGCATTGAGGAAAAAGGCTTACTTTCCCATAATGCCATAATGCCAGGTACTGACTGGAAAACAGAGAAATCCAAGTCTGTTGAGGGAGGGAGAATGGCAGGAGTGTGGGAGAGGCATGGTCCTTATCTATGATACAGCAGTGGCAGTGGCAGTGGCAGTGGCCAGGGCATTGACTGCTGAGTACATGCCGGAGTAACTAAGCCAAGCAGGGTGGGAGTTGTGACTGTCTTTCTGTTTTGTTCAGATGTATGGCATATGAAGGACTAGAGTTGAGGTGTTTGTAGACACTATGTTCAAACTCAACTTTTGCTACTTTTACTTCACTGTTCATGTTGTGAATGATTTATGCAGAACCAGGGAATGACCCCTCTGGGGGAAAAAAGAGGATGGCCTTGTTTTCTTGCTACAGAGGCTTAGATATGAGTTCCATTTGTATCCTTTACATGTCTATTAAATTATGCTTTATGTTCAAATTTTTATTAGCCTTGTTTTTCCTGCAGATATGTTAACACAGATTCCCTTGGAGGGAATAAGCCAGTAATCAGCAAAATTCAAGGGTTCTCTGATTTATCAAGGTCAGGACAAAACACAACTCCTCTGTAAAATTTCAATCACTTCCCCTTTCAACTGTCCCTGCAATGATGTCCCCTGGCAACCCCCACCCCCACCCCGTGTCTATCTTCTCCTCTCAGCCCAGAAACATTCCAATCTTCTGAAACTCCAAAGAAGGGAAAGGGCAGCAAGGCCTGGGGCATTGAATAAAAACTTGCCTATTTCGCAGTCTTGCCAAAGACAGGCTCTACATGCAGCAATATTGGTATCAAAGAAGGGTAAGGTGTGGTGGGATACTGGAAGAAACACTGGACTGAAGGGCAGTTAGGAGGCTTGACTTCTCTTGTCATTCGTGGGCAATGCAAGTGTGTGGGAGTTGTCCACAGCTGTTACTCATCCAGAAGAGCAAGAGGGATGGGATTAGCCTTGCCCACTCCAGTTTAAAAGCCCTCTGGTACATTCCGCTTCCTGTGAGTGACAAATTGTGTGAACCTCTTTGGTTGCACTCAGACCCTTTTTCTTACTTCAGCTTTCTATTTCTAGCTGGGCCCAGACTCTCAGACCATGCTTCATTCCCCACCCCAGTCATCCAATGGGACACCAGGGCCCAGGCAGTGTAGACATTTTGTCATCTCTCCCTATACCAGGCATAGATTCCTCTTGCCTTTGGCTCAGGGAGTCATAAATCAAATCAATATTACCTTTGCTACAGGAATGACAGAACAATCTACTGCCCTCTGAGGTTACTCACAAGCCCTAGGACTACTTAGGGCAAAGCTCCTGTCCCCGGCCACCACTCCAGTTATGTCTCCCTTTAGTAGAAGACAAGATCCTTGAGGGCAGGAACTGTTTCACATGTATAGCCCCAGTACCCAGCACAGTGTCTAGATTAGAATATAGTAGGCCACAAGGGATACTTATTGATTTCTTGACTTGTGTGCTATCTGGCTTTTGTTAACCCTTGTTTAGATTGTTGATTATGCCTGCTTACTTAGATCTGGTAGACTTCTTGTTGCTATGAGCCTCATGTCCCAGCCCCCTCCCATTGGCACTCCAATTAACTGGCCCTTCTGCCAGCCCCTTTATTTGCTATTATGGTGACTGACCTCTTGCTTTTCTCTCACCTGTGGCCTTTCATAGACATAGACTGTACCAGGAGGGAGCACCAAGTCCCCCATGGCACTGGGCTTCATTAAGACCTGGGTTCAAAAACCAGCTCTTCAATTCAATGTATGTCAACTGGGACTACTCATTTCATTACTCTGGGCTTTCTCCCTCCATGTAGGTCAGGTTCTATGATGTCTAAGTTCTCCCCAGCTCTAAATCCTATGATTATTTGACTTCAGGAGGAGTCTTGTCATAAGTTTCCCCTTCTCTCGCCCTAGTTCCTAGAAAGAACCAAGAGACACAGGACAAGGTTTGACCAGATGACCTCTAAATTCTTTTCCAGCTCAGACATCCTGTGATTCTGTCATTTTAGTGGGCAAAGACAGACACATTTTCTCTGTTTCAGTTCCCAAATTGACTGGACACAGTAAGAAACACAAATTCCTACGGCAGGTCACTGATTTTGTGTGAGTTTGTACGGCAGATAGTGATGCAGGGTAATATCTGGGTCCTTTATACCTTTAATAAGCTAGGACTAACTCCTCAAAGCAGGCTGGGAAAATCCCCGTTGTGCTCAGTATTTTCTAAGGTGATAAATCCCAGCTACCACCTCTTCCCTTTATTCTCCTTCTCTCCTCCAGATTTAGTAAGGCTCTGCCAATGATCTCAATGCTTCTGTGGGAGGATGGAAAGCACAGAGAATGCCAAGCATCTGCAAGTTTAAACTGAGGAAGAATATTCCAAGATCCTTCCAATCATGTTCAAGACAGTGTGATCCGCCAATTGCTCCGGAGACAGTGTTGGCCTCAACATGCTG